CCACCCCAACTTTTAACAAGATTTATAACCATTAGGTCAGGAGTACAGAAACAAAAACAAATGTCTAAAAAAGTCGAAACTGATAAGGAGGCCTCTAATGTATCTGTTTCTCACGTTTGCTTTGGCATGTCCAAGAAATCTTCTAGTATTTTCCACAATGTAAAATAAGATAACATCATTTGCTAGTATGGCCTAATACTGTTCATTCAGCTTCAAGGCAGACAACCTAATAATTCTGTAACAAGGGCGGATGCAGTCTATATTCAATGAGTCAAACTGACCACAGTATTTTGACACGGGATATAGATATATGCGAAAAACTACTAAAATTTCAACAAATATTAAATTCTGGGTCAGTCTAAAATTTGGTGCTAAGAACCTTGAAGGTCGAACCCATCAAGTTTAAATCCTGAATCGTCTTTGTTTTGTAATAGTGATTCTACTTTCACCTCCAGGTGAATCCTAACAGGTATAGTAAGTTTCAAATTATTTGTTCTAAACATGTTACCACCAAATTTCACACAACGGTATTTCTAGACTCGTCTAGAGATGGATACGGGGAGGGGTATGAGAAAAGCAATTTGTAATTTCACAGAAGTAGCTTATAAAACAAGGATGCCAAAGCATGCAATCTGACACACAGAAGGTGGCCCCAAAAGACTTTCATTTAGAACTGGGGTCAACTTGCTATCTCACGCTTGTCTTTGAAAGAAAAAAAAGGTCTGAACTCGAAGTCGAAGAATACTTTTTTTTATGACCAAGAAATCTGTCCGGGGCCAACCTTTAGGACCAACCCCAACCTTCGAAACTTAGGGATAATGGGTCCGCCCTTCTACTCTTCTCCATTTAAATACCAGGATTAGTTCGCATGACGCAGGGCTAGAACTTGTGACATAAGTCACAAGTCCCTCAACCTTTATCACTTGAGCTAAGTCCTGGGGGCCAAAGTCCAAGAATACTTTAAACTGGTTATTGAGACACCGAGGAGTCATGTGTCTAAAGAAATTCAAAGTAAAGACTTAAGTTCCTGGCAAATGGGAAGAAGATATATTGGACATATCCCGCAAGGACTCATTTTCTTTTTTCTATTTCTTCTTTTATTTGGTCAAGAAAATTTGGCTTAAGTCCTCGAGGGGATGAGAGAAGGGATGAGACATAGGAGTTAAAAATTTTAAAAAAAAAAAAAAAGGGAGGAAAAATTTGATTAAATGTAGAGTCCGAGTTAAGGGGTTGTGAGATAATTAGCGATAAAGACTGACCTGAAGTTCATTCAATATAATTGGTTGACAGAATTGAATGCATACCTTCCTGGAAGTGGCTGAGAACTGTTCACTGGACCCTTGGAATTGGCAAATCTTTTGGCTCTATTTTCTTGTTGCTTCTCAACACGCATGGCAGAAACTTCCTTCTCCATCGCAGCGACTTCCCTTCTCATCTTTTTGGCCTCAACTTCCATGGCTTTTGTTAAAGTCTCTACTTTCTTTGCTAACATCTGAACCACGGGAATATTATCAAACTTTGCAGAAAATCAGAGTGAGTGAAGGTAGTCATGACACCAATCAGCATTCGATCTAACCTCAATAGCGTCGTCCTTATCATTAAGACTTTGATCCTTCTCATGACCAGCTTTCCTCAAAGCAATTACTTCTTTTTGCAGCAAATCATATAATACTCCAGGGACAGTATCTTCTGTTTCTGTAACTTGCGAGTCATTGTGTTTTTCATCTTGATTCGCTTTCCATGAAATGTTCGCAGTCTCATTATCCTTAGTCCTGTCACAGGACTTGCTGCTATTGAAAGTTGGACCTGTTCCATTCAGAAGGTTTTTAGTCCTGTCCAACGATCTTGAACCACCATCAAACGACTTAGATGTCCCTTTTGCATGCTTCAACACTGTACTGGCCCCAGAAGATCTCAGCTGAAATGATGGTGATCTCTTGGGTAAAAATCCATTGGAGGTCAATTTGGAGATGTTTTCAGCTCCACCCAGTGATTGCCGACGGGAAGGGCCGTTGCTTGAACTTCTACCATCTGGTGTAGTGCGAGCGCCTGTGCTAGTTGATCTCAATGTATCTTCAAGGACCTTGAGCCTCAGATGATATTTCTCCTGAGGACATAATCAAGATCAAGATAAAAATAAGTTATAGAAATAGCATCAAAAACACGTTAAAATGCTTCCTCTATTGGACAGAATTATTACTTTCAACTGCGCTTCAGACTTTGCAGCTCGTTCAGTGATTGCAAGCTTGTCGCGTAACTGTTGCATCTCACCCTGCAGAAAATATTCTGAGATCAATGTGAGCTCATTTACTTTATTCAGAAAGCATTCAGCTCTATTAGGATAAGATGCCCCTATGACTATCTTATAGAGCAAAGTCATGGAAAACCATCAAACCTGTAGAAACTTCCTTTCTTCAAGCCACTGTTTAACAGGCATTACTTTATCATTGGCATCTTTCCACTCATTAGCAACCACGGTTGCAACCCTATTAGCGGTTACCTTGGCACGTGCTAGCTCCCGGTCAAGAGTTTTTCTTTCTTCCTGTAGAATAGATAAGTAGAAGCATTCTAATTTAGGGATTGTCCACATAAAAACTACTTAGTATGTATATTATTGAAGTCTTGCTAGGACGAATTTACATTCATCTCTTGAACTTTTCGTTGGTAATCCCGGACAGCATTAGCAGCAGCACCGCCAGCAAGAACAGCCTCTTCAAGCTCACGTACAGTTTGGGTAAGCTTTTCAACCTCTGCAACCTTTTGTCTATGCATTCTGTCCAGTATTTTATTTTCTTCCTGATGTATGTTTGTATGAAAAACATAATTAAAGAAGGATGATTTAGAGATTAAAAGAATAACAACAAAGTGGTCTAACATTCATAACAGCAGAAGCACCATTTCTGTGATCAACGTACCTGGCATATTTCTATCTGTTTCATCAATTCCTGGTTCTTGTTCTGAAGGTCATCCACCATAGAAGCCTTTGCTAATGCTGACTGCACAGTTCTCTCAGCATCAAGTAGAGCTGCCTCTTTTGACTTAGTAAGACGGTCCAGTGCTTTATTATCATCTTGTAGCTTTGTAATCTAGGGAGAAGATAGGCCAGAGAATGAGTTCTATGAGGTGAGGACATACATAATCACAGCCAGATGCGAAATACTGCCACAGACCTCCTGACGAGCAAGCTTGAGTTCAGCCTCCAAGGGTGCAAGAATGGCTTCAATTGGAGGCATATCATCGTCTTTTTGAGCAGCATGAACCCTTCGAAGGGTGGCTTCTGCTGCAAACTGAGCTGCCATGAATGCCTTTTTCTCTTCATTAATTTTCTTAATTTCAAGATTCTGCCAAGCAAGAATTGTATCCACAGTTATGAAAGCAAATCAAAAAAAAAATTACAGGGAAGAGTTCGAGATAGCACCTTGCTTTCCAGAAGAGATTCTGTCAGCTTGAGCTTCTCGTCAACCCTTGACAACTCGGCCGTAAGCTAATATCATATAAAACAATTAACTGTATCAGCCTCGTTCTTAGCACTAATGAATAGCTCTAAAATTAGCACAGTAGAATTCATCATATATACCAAACTCAAAGTGGCTAAAGGGACAAATATGCAACGGTACCACTAGAACTATGTTGCCAAAAATCAACATGATTGCATTACTAATCTAGACTTGCCCATCAATGAAGAGTACATTGCAGTATTCAGCAATTGATGTGGAATTTATACAAGCTATTCTTATTTTGGAACAAGATGCCCTTCCCAAAAAGGGCAAAAGAAAAAGAAGTATGATGATGTAGATAATACTAAGATCTAAGTAATACAGCAATTTCCTTAAATGGTTTTTTAATGAATCCTCAAATTTTGAGTCCAAATGATATGAATAGCATCCTGTTGCTTCTAAACTAAGACAAAAAACAAAAGTAAACTCAGTTACATAACAGAAAATCTCAATCAAACAAGACTTTTTTCCAAAATGGTAAATTTTAGATGAGAAACGGACTGATAGATATTGAAGGACCAGAAACAGTAATAGAATAACAGTTAGAATTCTATGCTTTTACCATATATTTTTCTGAAGAATTTTAATTACATACACCGACAGTGTTATATAAAATTTTACATCAATAGTTTATTTTAACTGGTTATAGCACGTTATTAGTCTATTTATCAAGTTACCATACACAGTTTTTTATGATGAGTTACATATTATTGTATCAGCTTAACCTGATGGCTGATGGTGTGAAAAATTTGTACACCGTTATTGCACAAAACATAAACTCTTTTCTGAAACAAGACAGTCAATCAGTCATAGCAAAATTTAGTCCTCTGTCCTAGTTGTTTCAAGTCCTACAATTCTTGTCAAACTTAGAGAATGCAGTTATTTTTCACTTCACAGTCAATGCTTCTCTTAGTCAACGCCACTCTTTAATAAACAATTTTGAGCTGTGATTGTACTTGACCTTTGAACTCAATTTTTTAGACCTCAAAAGTGAAAATGGTATCACTTCCTTACTTCCTCTTCGTTTGCGCATCCTCAATAACTCAAAATCATACTACTGTTCGGTTAGTTGATTAAAAGTAACTGAGAAGCATCAAGTGTTGAAAAAGCACTTTTAGGTGTTGAACCTGATCTTATAAATAAGCTTAATGTGTTTGGATATTAGTGTTGAAGCTGATAATAATAGTCTTATTAGCACGTTAGGAGTTAGATACCTAAATTGCATCAAAATATCACTATCTTCCATTTTATGTGACACTCTTTGTTTTTTGTCTGTCCCAAAACGATTGACATATTTCTATATTTAGAAACAATTTAACTTCAAACTTCTCAATTTATCCTTAGTTATGTGATTTATAATCAAACAAATGTTTCTGGCTAGTTTTGCACCACAAGTTTAAAAAGTTTTTCCTCCCTCCTTAAATTATGTGTCCACTCAATCAACATTACATAAATTGGGACTGAGGTAGTATTTTGAAATCATGTCACATTGTAAGAAGGTAAATATACAAAAAATCAAAACCTCTTCAACAGCCTTTTCTCGTAAGCGCTCTGAGAACCTCAACGCCTTGATCTCCGCCTGAGCCTCACATAATTCCCGGTCCTTATCTACAATGACACATTCACACACCGTATCAATAAAAAAAATGTAAAAAGCAACAAAAAGATTAAAATTAAAAATTCAGAAAAGGACACAGCTAGCCACTAAATCACATTTGATCCAGCTAACAATACAGACCTCTTACTTCATTCTCCAGTCGATTAAGCTCCAACTTCACCGGATCCGACCCGTGGAGAAGGTTTAAGAACTCGTCTGCGTCGAGGCTTGGCCTCATCGACGTTCTTCTTCGATAAGTCTTCCCTTCCTTGAACGAAGCTGATACTGTCACCGGCGAAACTGTTTCACTCGTCGTCGGTCGCACATTGCCGTTGTGATTGCCGGAACACACCTCCGGCGACCTTCCTTCGCCGGAAACCTCCGTCAGCTCCGATCTGTACATTTCTCTATTCTTACAGTAAGCTCACTTCCAATGAATAATTCATACATACAACAAAATGTAAATAAACAGATGATTATGTCTGTATCTATTAGTATTATTATATACGGAAAGTGCCTCTGTGTGTGTGGAGTTCAAAAATGCTGTGTTGCTATCTCTTCAGTGTTAACTGTTAAGCTCAAAATAGAATTCTGTGTTAGAGAGAGAGAGAGAGAGAGGGAGCGAGTTGAAAATGGTGTGATTTTGGGGTTTGTTTCTCTCTCTAGACAATTTGTTAGTGGTGAATGGTGATTGAGATTGAGAGAGAGACAATGGGAGCGCGACTTTGTGACTTGTTGAGTGTGTGAAGTAAGGTTTTTCTTCTGAAATTTCATAGTACGAAGGGGTGTTTGGTTTGAATAGGCGATAAGTTATGATGATATTAGTTATTTGGTATTATTTTAGTTACGCTGACATTAATTATATTAGTATTATTTTTTATTTATTATTTGGTATGTTGGATTAAAAATAATAATTGCATAATTTTTAAGAAAAAGGTATAAGTTATTCCGGCACGAATTACTTCACCCCTACAAGGTATAAGTTATCCTGAGGATATTAATTTTAATCTCGAGATAACTTATATCAGGTTGGCTAATCAAATAAAATATTAAAGTGATATTAAAATTTTATACCAGCACTATATCTAGTTATACATCATACCAAAGTAAGTAGTACTTACTATACCTCATACCAAACGACCCTTGAGTAAGTAGTAAGTACTAATTTAACTTTAAGTTGCCATTTTTATTTATTTTTTATTTAATTTAGAGAAATTATTGGATTTGTTGTTATTATTGTTTTTAGCATTTTTAATTTAAGTTATAAATACTATTAGTGTAAAATTATTGTATATTATCAAATGTATTAATTAATAACTTGATGTGTATATATCTTTCTGACTTTTTCACCACTAATAAAAAGAACATAAAATCCTTTTTTATTTAAACGACAAAAGTTTATAATTAGTCACTTTACATACTCTCTCCATTCACTTTTACAGCTTGCTTGGATGGTTGTTACACATCGCTTCATAATGTATCGTATTATATTGTATTATAATATATCGTTTGATGAATACAATATTGGATAGATTGTATCGTTTGTTGTTATTTCATGATATCACACACCAGCAATATGAAGAATAAACTTACAATATTATAAAAAAAAATTATGATACTGGGTAAATTTATTATATAAAAAGGTATGGTAAATGATAAAATAAAATTATTTAATAATAATGAAGGGTGAGATGAGAGAAAAAGACAAGATAACGACGCAACCACATCAAATCGGTCGTTACATAAAGTGACATATTTCGTCGTTACGTAACGGCGGATTTAACGATACGATACAATAAAATTTAAGTAACAGCCAAAACAAACATCGTAATTAAAGTAACAATACGATACGATACAATAGGTAACAACCATCCAAACAAGTTGTTAGTTGTTCACTTTGGACTTTTCACGCCCCTTAAAAAACAATAATTGTAGTATGTATTTTACCTTATAACCCCTTCATAATGATAGCATTTCAAAGAGTCCTGAGAAATAATTTTGAAAATGAGTAATTAATGATCAGAGTACGACAGGGAAAAAAGTTTGTCCTTCTCTTAATTTGCTAAAATGGACAAGTAAAAATAAAACTATAATTTTAATATAGTGAACAAGTAAAACTGAACGGATGGAGTATTTGTATACTTTTGTTTTATACTTGTGACGACCCGCCCAGTCGTCTCGTGAGTTACCATTCTGTTTCCCCCATTTTTGCTTCTAGTTGCTTTGTCTATCGGTTCTATGAGTGATCGGGTTGGTTGGCTCGGGTTTGGAAAGGTTTTGGGAAGGTTTGAAACACTTAGTCTCTTTTGAGGAAGCTTAAGTTGGAAAAGTCAATCAGATGTTGACTTATATGTTAGAGGGCTCGGATGTGAGTTCCGATGGTTCGGATAGCTTCGGGAGGTGATTTGGGACTTAGGAGTGTGATCGGAATGAGTTTTGGAGGTTCGGAGTAGATTTAGACTTGAATTGGCGAAATCGGATTTTTGGCGATTTTCCGGTTGATAGGTGAGATTTTGATATAGGGGTCGGAATGGAATTCTGAGAGTTGTAGTAGTTCTGTTGTGTCATTTGGATGTGTGTGCAAAATTTCAGGTCATTCGGACGTGGTTTGATTGGGTTTTTTATCAAAAGCGTAATTTTGAATATTTTGGAATTCTTAGGCTTGAATCTGATGCGAATATAGTGTTTTGATGATGTTTTAAGCATTTTGAAAGTTGGAAAAAGTTTAAATGAGGTTATGGGATATCTTGGTATGCTTGGTTGAGGTCCCGGGGGGCTCGGGTGAGTTTCGAGTGGTCAATCGGACCATTTCATGCTTTGGAGAGTTGCAGATTTTGGAGCTTCAGCTGTTGCAAAGTTTTCCTTTTCGCGATCGCGTAGAGCTTTTGAGGGGGCAGCCCAGTTTGTTCTTCGCGTTCGCGAAGGTTGACCTGCTTTTGGAGAGATGAATGGGTTATTTTCCGCAAATTATGTCATTATTTGCTTAAACTTCGGTTTATTTTATCATGCTTTAGATTGTTTCTTACTGTTTAACTGTTAAATACTGAAATGGGAAGTGTCAGTTGGCCTTGTCTTCACGAGAGGCGCCATCACGACCGGGTCCGGGTTTATGATCGTGACAATACTTCTCTCCTAGGACAAAGACATTAAGACATACTTTGAACTGAATTCTAGTCTTGATATGTAAATGAATTCGAAACCTGCTTAACTATCATTTGCTAAACTATACTTTGTACAAATTTTGTTTTGTGAATATTATTTAAACTAGTAAAGTCGTAACAGACAATAGTAATAAATTATAAAAAAAAAATTACAGTTTAGCTTCTTTTTTGCCATAAGTTTAGTTGAGATAGAAGGTACAAAAAATATTCTTATATATGTATATAAATATTGATTTTGTGAACTTGATTAAATCACAATTAAAATATTTTCAACATCATATTGTTGGGCTGTCTAAAGTCTCAGGCAAGAGTCCAATAGAGTAGTTATTTTACTTACACAACACTTGGGCCCATTGTTAGATAACCAACCCAAATTTGTAACAAAAGCCACAAATGTAATAGATATATACATAGATTCTTCCAGAACAAATACACATTACATGAAATAAAAAGAAAAATATCTCTATTCTCTCTCATGTTGCCCGACTTAGGGTTTTCCACTTTTCAATTTCAATTTCCCTCAATCGACTCGAATAATGGAGTCTAACATCGTATCAGAGCCTAGCAATCAATCCGTCTTGATGTGAGATTTCGTCCGATGGTACCTATCTATTTTGGTTCAATGGTTTTGATCCGGTGCTGAGATTTTGATCTGAGCGATTTTGGGATTTCTTCAAGTTTTTCGGATTTCTTCGAGTTCTTCTTCTGTTTCTGCATTTAGAAGACCTTAGCTTCTTTAGGTGTGCGAAGAAGGAGGGTAAAATTTTTGACTTTCATCTACATGTGAATATACGATTAGGGTTTTGGTCTGCTCGATTTCTATTTTGATATAGTGATATTTGTATTATCTTGTTCATTTGAGACTTGTTATCATACAAAAACTGTTATTACTTTGTCTAAATATGGAAAGTCCTTCCTCCGCTACTGATGGCTTTGTTGAGTTTACTTTGGACTCAACTCACCCTTTCTATGTTCAGCCATCTGATAGTCCTGGTAGTCAGTTGGTTGTTATCCCTTTCAATTGGACTGGTTTTATACACTAGCGAAGTAGTATGGTCACCTCACTTTCTGCTAAAAACAAACTAGGTTTAGTTACTGGTAAAGTTCCTCAACGTCCACCCAATTCTTCCTATTATCCTTACTGTGGGGGATGTAATGATATGGTAAAGGCTTGAATTACCAATTCATTGACTAGGGAGATAATAGTTAGTGTCATGTATCTCAACACTGCTAGGGAGGTATGGAGTGATACAAATGAAACGTTTGGACAATCTAATGGATCAAATACATTCAAATTAAAAGAGAAATCAGTTCTACCTCACAAAGGTCTTCTATATTGCCATTTATTTCACTAAAATAAAGGCTCTTTGGGATGAGTTAAACTCTGCATATGTTGGTCCTACTTGTTCCTGTGGGGCTCTACCCAAATTCATAGAAGACCAACATATTTTTCAATTCTTAAGTGGGTTGAATGAGTCATATCCCACTGTAAAAAATAGTATCATGCTCATGTCTCCACTCTCATCCACTAGTAAGGCTTATTCTCTACTCCAACATGATAAAATTCAAAAGGAGAATCAACCTCCAGCCTTGGGTTTTTCTGGTGATTCGGCATCTTTCTCTGCCACTACAGTTGATTCAGCACATGTTAATCAAATGAATTCCCAACACAATACCAGATCTTATAACCAAAGAATTAACTTCGATCCAAAAAGGAACTCATCATTTGTATCTTGCAAGTACTGCAAAAAGCCTGGATACAGTAGATAAATGCTATAAACTCCACAACTTTCCTGTTGATTTTAAATTCACCAAAAATAAGAGATCTACCTCTTGTGTTCAATTAGAAGAAGCTACTGCTGATATTGGTCCTAGCATCAAGTCTAGTGACTCCACAGCTTATGGTTTCAGCAAAGAACAATATCAGCACCCCATGTCTCTATTTAGTAGGCTCACATCTCTCCTGGTATCCATTCTTCACCTTCTGATAAAAATGTTGCTTATGCCAAATTTGCAGGTGTTTGTCATCTTCCTGTTGATCAATTCCCAGTATTTAATTATGTAGTACATTCTTTGTCTGTTCAGCTGGGAAAAATACATTGGATACTAGATTCATGTGCCACTAATCATATGACTTCCAATAAACAATTCTTACACAGTTTACAACCTTTACCTAAACCTTACGTAATAACTTTACCAAATTGTTATAAAGTTAAAGTAATATCAATTGGTTCCTTACACCTTAGAAGAGACATTGTTTTACACTATGTACTTTTAGTTCCTTCTTTTCAATTCAATCTTATTTCTATATACCAACTTCTTTCTCAATTGCAATGCTTAACATTATTCGGCAGTCACTCTTGTTTTCTACAGGGCCCTTCTCTGAAGAGGTCATTGGAAATTGGCAGAGCTTCTCATGGACTGTACTTTCTGCTTCATGCCATGCCTGAGTATTCACCTTTTGTTTCTACTATTTCTTTTGGTACTGCTTGTAATATTTTTCCTTCTAATTCTATTTCCCCTTCCCCTAGTCCCTCTTGTATTTCTTCCACTAGTATTAATAAAATTGAATTGTTTTGGCATCAAA